CTTGATAAAAGATTAGTTACCGTTTTTGCAGGCTTTGTTCAACCCATAGAAATCTACAGGGTGGTCGAGTGTACCAATTTATTAAACGACCACATGCATTTATTTTTATGATATTAACTATGTTATAAAAATATCCCTAGACTTTTCATCTGTGTGTATATTAGATTCGGAAAAATTATTCAATACCAAACATTTCCTTCTGAAATTATAGCATCCGAAAAAAAATTGTTAGACTCGTATATTTTTATTTCCAGGGCTAAATATTTTATGCCTTTATCAAACCTCAAATCTTAAATGGTATCAGGAGGCAAATGATACCTCTTTTGGAAGGTCATCGGTTTCACTTTTTACCTTTTTTCACTTTCCGAAACAACAGCTAATGAAAATTCTAGGAATGGATGAAACTTGTGTCACTTTTGATACTAATTCTTCAATGTGTAGCTATTCTGATTTTGATTCGAGAGATACCTCACTTGTTTATTTACAATTTAGTAATATCTACTCTGGAATTTGATGCTGGTTATGAAAAACTGAAATCAGTTTTTATCGATGTTTCTTTAAAAGTATTTAGAATTCAATTAATCTATACATTCAGTATCTCATAGATTTTGACTGTGACTATTTGGAATCATTATTTTGCTTAGATGATTTATTGAACTGCGAAAAGAGTATCGATAATAATTGAACTTCACTATAAAATGGTAGTTGCGCTAATACTACAGCACAGTTTTTTATTACCAAAATCTGGAGAAGCATCTCAACTGAGATTAGGTTAACGAACTTGGTGGCAAAGGATCGGTGGCAAATCAAAGAAAAATGAAAGAAAATTCGCAGCAATACCGAGTCGATTCCAAAAATGCATTCCAATTTTTTTTTGATGATTGGGTTTTTCGTTAGCATAAGTCTTTCATTTCGGAAACTGTCTACTTTGAATTTTGCATTTCATCGACCAATTACCTGAACTTTTTTGACATAGTAGTATGTTGATATCTAAAAGATGTTTTAACTTTTTGGGTGGGTAATCTCCCAACTATGACTTGTAGAATAATTTTACTATCGGATCTCAAAAATATCGTTCTCTCCTATTGAAACTCTTCATTATATTGGTTGTATACTCAAATTAATCATAATCATACCATAATAACAATACATAATGCATATCATATACATTTTTATTTATATATTTACATATAAAATCAATTCTACATGGAAAGTGGAATACTATACAGGTTCGGGGCACTTTACAGTGTAAATACGTATATACATAATAATACAATAGGTATCTAGTACAAAACATAGAGCTTCCTTAAAAATAATACAGTTTTCATGCAAATGCATACAATTTGTTCGAATAAATAAACTTAAATACATAATTAAGGAACAATAAAGTAGGCACTGACATATGTCGGTTGATAAATACATTCTGGAAACATTCTTTTATCAAATTCCACCAACAATTATTCATATTCATAACTAAAAGACTAGAAAGCGCAGTCGTACAATAAATAAATTTAAATAACATTAATTTTTATTTACATAATTTCTATAAGTTCGATAAATAACCAATTTCTCATAAAAGAACTTTCCAGAAGAATATAAATGGTGGTCTACATAATCGTCATCAAAGGTATTCATGTCCAACATTAGGATGATTGTCTCAAATGTAGCAGTAACAACACTTGGGGTTCAAAGAAGGTGCTTATATTTTCAAAATATTTATTTTCTAACGAACAAAAAATACTAGTATTATTGTGAAATTGTTTTGAGCTTATTTAAAAAAAATATTTTAACTTTTCAGTTCGATGTTCTTCAAAAGCGTGTTTTTCAATTCTTCAAACCATATTTATATTCCATTTTTTATCTAAAATTTGGGATCAATCAAGCCCGACGCAGCAGGCGCGTGAAGCAGGGTTTCAAATAAGGCAGCAGACGCGCGTATTGATAAAAAAATACTTTTTTCAAATGAAGAGGTTACGTACAGTGCCATCTTCCCGCGAATAGATCAAACAATAATGTCGATATATCAAGAAGGTTACGTACAGCGCCATCTGTCCGTGAATAGATCAAGCAATAATGTCGTCATATGAAGGAGGTTACATACAGCGCCATCTGGCCGCAAATAGAATAAGCAATAATATCGATAATTTTGTCAAATACAGTTCGCGAGCTTGAGAGTTACAAGCAAACAAACAAGCATACATACATACAAAAAAGAAGGGAAGCCGCTGTTATTAATGGAGTATAACACTGATTTATCATATGATTGAACCCAAAATTGTAAAATTCATTAGTATCAGCTCAATTACGGGTTTTTGGAGTACTCAGATATCAATTGAACTAGAAAAATGATTCATTGTTCATATTCTTGATAGTGATTGTGTCGGATGGACTTCTTCCGTTATTATCTGAAAGAAACTCTTGTACATGATCTACAAATATTCATAAGAGTTTTTATTGAAGTTACCTAAATAATTACTTTATTATTTTATTCAGAAAAGAGAGCCAAAAAAGTATTTTTCCAAAAACTATTCTCTTCTAAAAATATCCTTCCTTCCATTTCAAAGAATTTATATTTCATTCATCTTATGACATATGTTCAATATATTTCTTGAAGTATAATTCAGCAGTTTTTAAAAAATTTCATAATATGTATAAATAGGTATGAAATTGAATAGGTAACTAACTACCCATTCTCTGTAAATTGTTATAATATCATATACACACATCGGAAAAGTCTAGGGATATTTTTAAAAATGGNATTTATAACATGGCATTTGAGGATGGATATTTTATTTTCATTGATATATTTAGCTCAGAAAGTCTATTCTCTCATACAAATCAGTGAAATAGAAAAACAGTTTTATGTTTATTCAATAACATCATATATGATCATATATGTCAGATCGAGCCTCCATTAGGAATTTGTTATGAAGGAGTGAAGTTATGAAAAAAATGTTTGTATCAATGTTCCATATTGTAAATAATAGTATTTTTTAAACGATTTTTTGATTTCTGATCCTCCCAGTATATAAAGAAGTATCGTGATAAAATTTTCATTCGATAAGGAAAAAATATGATTTCGTTGAAAATGGGGACGGTTGATTAGGTAAACTACATGATGTTATTTTTGTGTAACTTCTGAATCGTTTGGTATTAAAATACTTTATTTATTGAATATACTTTTCTGATGAAATACAAATGTGAAAAACGAAATATCCCTTTCCTCATTTGCTTACATCTTTTTATGAATCTGGTAAAATTATTTGTTTTCTTGGTATTCTACGAGAACAAAAGGTTGAAGGTATTCCATCAAAATATTATGTGAATAGATTTTCTATATTTGTTTTATAAATTACTAACTCTTCGAAAACATACATTATACTAGATATCACCCATGAGACTATTTGCTCTTTCTGGTTTCTTGGCTGTACTCTGCGGGTTTTCAGGCATGACGTTTCGTCTGTAACTGCGGCAAATAGTATCGGAGGCGATGCCGCAATGGTTGAAGTTATCCCACATCTGCATATGGGAGCAAGGTAGACCACTTGCTTTCGATAATATCTGCCGCAGTTGCAGGCGAAACTTCAGGCCTAAAATCTGCAGACCACGGCTAAAAGACCCAGAAACACCAAATGATTTGCAAGACACAAGTCGTGAGAAACTGTATACCATAATACCATTTGAAACGTTTCAAGCATTCATCAGTACTTCTATTTTCGTAACTGTTCTACACATTTTGAACTAAATTCTATTCAATGTTGGTACATTCTCTATGTGATCAATACCCTTGAATGTTCTACATTTCACCTTGCGGTATCTTTTAAAGACACATCTTACAGATCTCTATACTACAAAAATAAATAACCATCTGTACAAGTCACTGGCCAATCGATGTAAAAACAATAAAGGTCATTCGTGTAGGTGGGAGGGCACTAAGTAGTTTGCTGCACCGTACAGCATCTTGGCATACCAGTGGACCCCAAGAGTAGTCTGTCTGGAAGTCGCAACGATATACGGGGAGTCCGACCAAAGGACTGAAGGATGCGTGAAAACCTTCCACATCCTGTCCAGTCCATGTTTGAAGTTCCAAACGAAGCGTAGAGGCAGGAAAGACCAATGGGCCAGAGACTGGCTGTCCACTACGGCGTAGCAAGAAGCGACCACATCATCCACCACCAAAGTCCCCGCTTCAGTCAAGGGGGCGTAAGTCCCAGTCCTCAAGACTGCGCGAACTTTCACAACACTATCTTCTACAAGAGTTTTTGAATCATTCGATACACTAACTAACAATTTATCACCAATTTTGATTTTCTCAGCAAAAACTGTTCTGTATTTTTTTGAGGTGCCCGTGAGCACTAAGTGGGTGGGAGTTACTACTAAAGTCCGACCCGAGGAGAGGGTGAAGGTCAAAAACTCCCGTTTTTGGGAGGGGTCGTAGTCCAGGAAAGCTATGACTTCACTGAAAACTAGCTGGTTGGAGGAGGTGTCTTGAGCCAGAATTTTTTCTCCTATCTGGAGGTCCGAAAGCTTTCTTCTTTCTCCGGAAGAGGTGAGGACTTTACTGTCACCAGGGAAGCATCCTCCGTATTTGGAACCTTGAGAGGATTCTGCAAAAAACAAGAAAATGTTTAGTAGAGTCTCCGAAAAATGTGAGGAAATATTTTGTGATACTTTGAGTGACATCAAAAAAACTTTTCGTTTGCTACCGTTTAAGTGGTCTTTGAAACGCGTTCTAATAGCTTGCTTAGTTTGCCCAACATACTTATTCCAAACATCACCATTCACTTCATAAATTTCAGACTTTCAGTGTTTCAATCATCTCATTTTTCGATTTGCGTAACACCTGTTGAAGTGTACAAAGAGTTTTGGAAGCGGTGGGTGGTTTTTATGTTCAGTTTTTCAAATAAATCCATCGTACTGAATCTTGGTTCGAACGAAATAACTATTTACTTTGAATCGCAGTATGTTTTGCATTATATTTATCAATTTTGTGATGAACGAGAGTAAGATAGATGTATCAACTTCTAGTAGTAGTATTGAATTATTGAATTGACATTCTCAATTTTGAGAAATACCTCTAAAGGCTTGTAATGTGATGTGTATACGAAATCCAGAACTTTCAGATATTTCCTCAGATATTTCACATTTATTGAGAAAGTCCCTGATTTAACCTTTGTGGTCATAGGACTACTCTTCCATTAAGCAGAGAAATGAAGTTTAAATGAAAATAGGATATTCAGACATATGAATATGGATATATTAAAAGGAAATGCACAATTTATAGGGTTTCAACATGCTATTGAGAAAGCTGTAAAATTTCGCTTCCTTCTGAAGATATGCCAAGAAACCATATTTTTTCGATTCTATTTGGAAAATGTGACAAAATAAATTTCACTATCACGTTGATACTTTTTTTCTCCACAAGACAGCGTTGAGAAATTTTCAGTGTAATGTTTCATTTCAGATAAATCATCATCAACTTTTTTAATAAGACCCGTGAAAAATTAGACCCTGCATTGAAAAAATTTAGTTTTTTATTGAGAGTACAAGAGAAAATTGTTATGATGGAGTTTTAAACGTTATGGTGTAGAAGGCACTAAAATGATGAAACCGCACACCAGTAAGCTGTTATCTGAATGTTTACTAATTTTATTCCTTTATTAATATGGAACATCTATATTTCGAAAAGAATAAATCCAAATCATGCAATTGGTTTCAAAAACTCCAGCTGTATAGGAGTTACGACACAATAAACAATTGAATTTTTTGTCAGTTAAGAATTTCACATGTATATAGGTAATGTCTGTTGAAATAAAGAAACATCTAGAAATCTCATTTATACACAAGCTTTCCGATTTTTTTCCCAACATCAACCCGTTGTTTCAACACCTCGATACGTATTTCGATCACCAAGTGATCATCTTCAAGAGGAAGATCTTCCACAACAAAGGTTCCAAACAATGCATCATAAACTTTCTGATGAGCATTTTATACCGATCATTGTTTTCATCGGCTAAATTGTTAGCTAAGACCGTTGTAAAATTCTGAAAAGGTATGGGAGCTGCATATCCACTTCTGTAGAGTGAGGTTATTTGGAAATTTTATCACTAAATATTAGGAAAATGAAATTGGTGTGGCAGTTGCCTCAAGTTTAGATCGAGTGGACAGAAAACATTAAATACTTTTTTAGTTTTGATTTCTGATATACGTTTGAGCAGTTGAAATGTCCATGGATCACATTTCATTCAAAATATAACCCAAAAAATTCCATTAACAAAACTTACACAATGTTTTTTATCTACATTTTTGAGGATTGTCAGTTTTCACAATCTGCAAAATATTCAGTTCGGCGATATTTCACAAAACTCTCAGTTATTCATTATTATTCAAAACCCCAGCGACGCAAATACCCATCCAGAAGTGGGATTCCAATAAATCACGCGAGTCTCTAAATTCATATTCACTCTTTATGTTCCGAAAAAAGCGAGTCATGAGTCCTCGTAATATTTTCTCTTTCATATTAGGTCAAGACATCTCACGAAAAGGCTGTAAACATTCTTTATGAGACAACATTTTTTCTTCCATTCTCCGGGAAAACCACAAACAACTCTCGGAAAATAAATAACATTCGTTCTGTTCTCTGATGCCCATGAATCATTACAGCTTGGATGTGCGGTATGCCACACAGTGTTGCCAGATAAAAATGAATTTCTTTAGATTTGAAGAATTCGACTTATTACTAAAAAACTTACAGTTCATGCTAGCTATCAGCTATACCCTCAGATCAGAGGTAGCGGAAGGGGCCGACTAGGAAGTGGTCGCATGTTGGCGTTCACAGTTCGGCTCTTCTCGGCAATGTTCGGTTCTCGTTCGGCGGCTAAGATTACCGCGTCGTAAATTATGCCTTCAGAAAGCATGCTACTGAGAAAGACGAAGCTCTCTGGCCTACAGAGACAGGTTTGTCTGGCTATCAGTGGTGCCATCAGTCTACCTCCTCTCCACATTTTTTTTGGAGAGAGAGGCTAGATGGACTGCATACAGACTTGTGCACATTGCCAATTGCACATATAAATTTAATGCAGAGTGCAACAGACTGTTGGTTGACACTGGCAGTCAGCATTCTGGAAATTACCTCTGACTTTATGCCTCTAACTGCCTTATGAAGTACTGTTTCCGAGTAGAGAGGACTCCAAGAGAAGGAAATATTAGGAGCAGATAGTTGTTGGTTCACAGATGGATCAAAAACACCTTCCGATTCTGGTGCAGGTGTTTTTAGGACAGAGATATTTACCTGCCTAGGAACCTATGCGACTATATTTCAAGCGAAAAATTGACGCTATTGGATTGTGTGCGGAGAGATTCGAAGAATCCAACCTCATACACAAGTCAATAAAAATATTCTCGGACAGTCATGCGGCGTTAGAAGCTCTTGGCTCCTACCGAGCAACGTCTAAATTGGTAGCAAATTGCCAAAAACAACTCTCCTCGATAGGAAGACTTAAAAGATTTTCTCTGGTTTGGATTCCTGGCCATACTGGCCTGGAAGGCATTTAGGGTGCTTCAAAGGAGGGTGCTGCAAGCAGCTTCATCGAACCAGAACCTGTCATTGGCATCGCTTTAGGGTTTACTCAACAAACATTGAACACCTGGATGGCAAGAAGATTTATGGACTTCTATCTTCCAGGATTGGCTCACTCCAAGGCGTTTATTCACCCTCCGAAGCTTGATGCCAAACAGTTATTGTACTACAGTAGAGATGAACTATGATGTCTGCCAGGCCTTCTTACAGGTCACTGTCATTTGAATCATCACATACAGAGACTCGTACTGTCGGAAGAAAGTGTGTATCGTTTGTAATATGATGAAGCAGCGGAGCATATACTTTGTGCCTGCCCCGCTGGGGACCAAATCAGGTTTTTAGAGTTCGGCAGAGCCGTACTCTTACCATCTGACCTGAAAGATCACTCACCAACAAACTAATCGGCATTGTTAACAAGCTGGGATTATTTGGTCGAGTCTGAATTGGTGTGAGCCACAATAAACCCTTGCAAGTGACAGCAAAAAATCAGCGGTGTTACCTTGAACTTTCTGACTAGTCACATGTTCTCGATACCATTGACTACGACATAACGCATTCACAAACTCTCAGTGGAAGCAAGTTATCCTGTGTTTGATAAACGAACAGACCTGCATACTACCAGTCATATGACTTATTTCGTATTTAATAATAACAATAATAATAATTGGTTGATAATGCTGGCGCGCCCTCCCGAATGTATCGGGGCTTCGAAGGATAGAGCCTGACTAGCGCACACTTCGGTGGAATAAAAAAAAAGAAAATAATAATAATAATAAATGTCCTTTATTTTACTTGGCGGAGATTAGCATACATCGCTATTCTTCCACTATTTTTATGCTTTATGCCTGCTTGAAACTGAGTATGGATGCAAACCGAAGTCTCAGTTTTTTGTAAATGAAAACGTGCAAAACAGTGCATCCCGTTCATCACCAAATATGTCGGCATATGATTATTAAAGCAGAATATGAGAGTACCGCTCTCTGGCCTACACGCTCAAACATCATTACAAGTAACCTTTTTTCATTAAAACACAATCGTATAGGTGCATTTGTGTGGATGTGAAGCTAAACAAAAAATACATATTTTTTATGAAATTATCTAGAGAATTCAAAAAATATCATCTGGCAACACCGCACAGAATGCTAGTTTAAGGTGGAAGAGCCGGGTTTGGTGCATGGTGCTGCCCTCTTGACGGTTGGTAACGATGGCTCGTTCGAGAAACACGGCCAACTTGTCTCGTGTAAGTGTAAGGTCAGATCGTCAGATGTTTTTGAGAGTTGCTCCCGGCTCCAAGCTTTCACGTGATATCGCTTTACCTTCGGCATTCATCATTTACGGGGTGTAGTGTTTTATGCTTACAGTGCACAAAAATAATTCAAACTCATCAATATGATTTTCACTACATATTAATAGTGAAAATCATACAACAAATTGTATTAATAAGTTTTAATATGGATTTTCATTAAGTCATAGTAGACAATATCGTTAATTCACTGATATCATCAGAGCAGAAAGAAAATTTAATCTGAGAGAATGAGTCATAATGAACGTACTGATTTTTTTCAAAATCCTATAAAATCTAAGTTCGCTGATAACTAGATGAATCATAAAGATCTCTTGCTTTTTTTTTGAAGATATAAGAGAGAATCATGAACTGTCATACTTTACTAGATTTGAAATTTCCAATTTATTTTTTCGTGAGTGATCAGCTCTGATATCTAGAAGGCTAAAAATCAATTCCAATAAGTTTATGGGTACTTACACAAAACTTGTTGACATTATTTGAAAATCTACGTATCTGTTTCTTCTAAAATGTTACTCCCTTTTGGATTTTATCAAAAAAGAAATGAAAATATCTTCAAATTGAAAATGAGATTTGTTATTTGGTCAAAAGCTTAAGACTTTCCACTTCTCAATTATTATTAATATCCATGTCACTGAACAAAATTCGTGGGAAACTTACAAAGTGAGGAAGGAAGAGAATAACTACAAATAAATCATGTACAGGAATATAAATCGGAAAATAAA